GTTATAAGCATTTAGCATGGAAATATCAAGAAGATGGAAAAAAAGTTTCATCTACCACTTATAACTCTGGCATACACAATCAGCAAACTCAATCTGCATGTCACATTTGTCCACTAAGCACATATTGAGGTTGTAGTCCATGACAGCTGCATTTTTTAGAATGGGTTCATTGGTCTCTATTGTGCTTGCCAGTGTGTGCCATTTCGTTTCAGTGAACTGATGTCAACAATGTGACATCACGTTTGTCATGCCACTGAAATGCCATGATGTCATTGGCAGCAAAGGCTTGCACCTCACCTCTGCGAGTGCCAGTGTCGAACCTTGGCATATGTTTACGATTACCATACACTGTGCCACACACGTCTGTCAAGTTCACTCTCAAGAAATTACTGATATGGGGCTTGTGTACCAGTTATCAGTAATAATATATGCCTCTTACCAAGATAGGGTTTTCTATCGTTGTTCTAGCTGTATAGCCCTTGTGGCTTAGCGCTTCTTTTTTATTATAATAATAATATCGTTGTTCTAACAACATCACCAGAGATACCCAACAACTTCCTGGTATCTCTCAATGTATTACTGCCAGTGTACACAATGATATCCAAAACGAGACCATTTTTGCAATCACACAGTACAAATAACTTTATACCAAAGCGTTTCCTCTTGCTTGGTATGTATTGCTTGAATGAGAGTCTTCCTTTGAATAAAATAAAAAACTCGTCAATAACAAGCTTCCTGAAGGGATAAAAATACATGCAACACTTTTGTTTCAGGTACATAAACACATTTCTGATCTTATATAACCTGTCGCTTCTGTCAGGCCTTGTTTTGTCTGAAAAGTGTAACATACGTAACAGTATCAAAAAACGATTCACACCTATGTCACTAAAACCTGGGGTTGAAATCAGGTGTTCTGTTGACCAGTATGTGGTGACAGTGTGCTTATACACATGGAGCATAAGCATTATTGTGGCAGAAAACAGGTACATCTCTGCCACAGTTGTGTTCTTCCACTGGTGTAGCTGTGATCTTGGCGAGAGAATTGTATTTGCCATGGTGTACTCATAGTATGTTGGTTTCCCTGACTATAATGTCTATCAGGGGTTCATCGAAGAATAACTGAAAGCATTCCGGTTCAGTAGCATTGTTCCCAAGTGTACAAACTCGTCACCTTACTGCCAATCCCAGATGCGGTCTGCTGGTGGGTTCTGGATATTGAAACGCAGTTATGGTTGTGCAGGTTGTGGGAGTGGAGGGTTGGGTGAGGCTGGCTGTAGTTGTGCAGAATCAGCAGCATAAGTAGTAGCGTGGCCCGCTACTGGTGCCACATGACTCGTGCCACCATCATTATCACCACCACCACCTGCTGCCTCACTCGCATCATTCATACCTATTGTAACAATATAGTCATCTTCACTATCAGGTCATGGTGTAGGGCCTTGGTATGTGCTCCGAGATTTACTCCTTCCCCTTGGAACAGCATATGACACACTACCAGACTGCATGCTACATCGTACATACTGCCACTTAACTGGGGAATATTCACCCTCACTGTCGCAACTAGAACTGCTTTCCCATAGCTTTGAAATCACTATCACTATCATTTTCACTGCTCACATCTGAGCCTTGTACATGGGCAAATAGTTTACTCTTGTCCTGGTACAGGTGAACGTGAACGAGCCGGCCCAGCACCAGAGGTGGAAGGTTGTGGTCATCTGGGTTTTCGTCACTAATTACGTTATCCTGGGCACTGTTTTCGGCCCACACCCACTTGAAAACCACAGAATTCACTTTCACCGACACTTTCATCACTGTTAGAGCTATCACTTGGGAACAAAAGACCTCCAATCCGCCGAGGAGCGAGGTACTTCTTACTGCGAGGCATTGTGAAAATGGACTTCCAAGATGGCATTCCCACAATGCACCACTGAGTCCCAGATTTTTTTCACAGGGTGCACACCCACCACTCAGACCCATTCTCATGTACGCCTACCAGCTTTCTCCTGCTTGATTTGAAGCCGCTAGAATTTACGCATATAAATATGTCAGAAACAGTGGCGCATAAGACGTATACATATATTCGATGGAAACAGTCAAAGGGTTAAAGCATGGTGTTATGAGAGGCATCCCTATACTGTTGACAGCCTAGTGACATTTGATAAGTATGAACTGCTCCAGCTAACTCTCCTGTACAGTGGTCCCTCGCTTTTCGTAGTTCTCGGCAATCGTAGATTTCGCCAATCATAGGGGTATTTTCGTATAAACATGGACTCGCTTTTCATAGGTTGACTCACGAATAGTAGTTCGTCTGGGACGCGTACGCACGGTGTGAGCCTGGAGGCCTCCCTACCCAGCCAGTCTGGCATTGTTTACGAGTGAGTGAAGGTCCCCTAAAGTGCTCCTACGAAATATTTCATAATATTCCACTCATTTTAGTGCTTGCAAGTACTAAATAAGCTACCATGGCTCCAAAGAAAGCTCCTAGTGCCAAGCCAGTGGTAAAGAAGGTGAGAAATATGTACAGTGACAAAGTCTTGGGCCATTTTAGGGAAGTGTTAAAGAGACGCCAAAAACAGAGCTCTCTCCACAGTTACTTTGCGAGACAGGACTAGAGTGACTCTCAAGGTGGTCCTAGTGGCATTAAGAAACAGAGAAGAGAAGCAACCCCAAAGAAGCAATTGGTACCTGAGGTGTTGCTGGAAGGGGATTCCTCTTCCAAACTGTAAACAATCCAATCTCTCTCCTCCTCCAGTCTCCCATACACTAAGAAGAATCTCCAATAAAGGTAAGTGTTATGCTGTTAATGTTTCATTCATCATTTCCCATTGTATTGTTTATGTATTACATGTATATTTCATGTAAAAATTTTTTTTGTTTTAATACTTCTGGGTGTCAGGAACGGATTAATTGTGTTTACATTATTTCTTATGGGGAAAATTGATTCGTAAATCGTAAATTTCGTTTATAGTAACGGCTCCAGGAACGGATTAATTACGAAAAACGAGGGACCACTGTATTTGTTATCACTGTTACACACAAACATGTCTTGTCTGTCTGTCTGCCAGTCTGTCTGTACTTATCTGTCTAGCTCTGCTTATATGTCTGTCTGCCTGTGTGTGCCTTGAGTACATATCAAACTCCTTGAACAATTGTGCTATGGCAACTGTTGACAGCTCAGTGACATTTGATAAATGGGCACTAGGGGAACCCTGGCTTTATTTGTTTTCACTGAAATTCATAAACATCTTTGTCTGTCTGTCTGTCTATCTTGCCTGGAATTTTTGGGTTATCCTAGGTAATTTACACTATGTATAATTGTACTTATGTGTACATATGAAAGAGAGACAGATAGAGATATAGATACAGAGATATAGACTGATATATAGACAGAAATATAGAGAGACACAGCCAAAGCCAGCTGTCCTCTTAAAAGGGGAGTGTTAATGTGACATGGCATCAGTGAATCCCTGGTGTTTGCCATGCTGTTTGCTCTAGTTGGTTCTCAATTGCAATTGTGCCCCCCACAAGGTACTAAGTGGTCCCAGATTTTTTAAAGGAATGAAAAATAAAATTTAGATCTACATTCAGTGTTACACGTACAAACATAATCTACATTTGGTCAGTTTAAGGGTTAAGTGACAATTTTATTTAGTGAAACCATGTGACAATAGAGAAAAAAAATCTTTTTTTAGTTGAGTATGTTGTGTTGGTAATTGTAGAATATTATACTATACTGACTTATGTTTCTATTGCAGAAGTATTTTGTGGAAAGCTACCAGGTTGTGTCTTGCCAGACACTATATTTTCAGTACTTCAAGAAGCACCAGTGTAAGTGTCTTGAACAACAACTGATATTACAGAAGTATTTTGTGGAAGACTACCAGGTTGTATCCTGCCAGACACTGTATCTTCAGTACTTCAAGAAGCACCAGTGTAAGTGTTTTGAACAACAACTGATATTACAGAAGTATTTTGTGGAAGACTACCAGGTTGTATCTTGCCAGACACTATATCTTCAGTACTTCAAAAAAGGCAACAGCTGTTCTCCTTGTAAATTTTTAACTAGCTATTACTAATTAAATAATTATGCTTTTGCATGGGAGTTAATTCTTTGAGGGTCTGTTTTCTAGTTCTACGACTTTTAAGCCAGGGCCTAAGCTGTAGTACTACATCATGAGCTCAGCTTACTCAGATAAGCTGTGAGCAGTAAATTTGGGCCTATATATGAGAGAATGCATCTATGTGGTAAGTGTGTACCATATAAAACAAATCCTGCTGCACACAGTGCATAATGAGAAAAAACTGCGACTATGTTTTTGGATTAAAACAGCAAATTTTCAGTGTATTTTCATATGATTTTTAGTAGCACTCACTGTTTCTTGGTGTCATTTGATAGAATAGAAGATGTATTATAGAAATTATTTTGATGGATTTTAGTACTGAAAATAGCTTGCAATTGAGTTCAGAATAGTGGGTAAACAAAAACATTTTTGTGTCCAATTCATGTCAGCTGGTGGGTCTGATGTGTGTTGCTGAACGTGGTGATATTATTTATACAATTATTACAATATTGCATAAAAATCTTCTATTTTTTGGTGTGATTAAAAAATCAAAATGAAATTAATCTGTAAAGCCTGGAAATGTAACTAATAAATACAGGAAATGTTAGTTTAGTGCCAGGAATGCCTGCATTGATTATTCTTGACAATATTTTGAAATTGGAATATTTTGAACTTTGTGTGAAATTGGCCAAATTACCAATTTCCAATCACTTTATTGGGAAGTTGAAATAGTTGATCTGGGCAATTTTATGTGCTCAGTAGATAAAATGGAACACATACTAGAAAATAGCTAAGAATTTGGTCTAGTGGAATAATTTAATTGGCCAAAAACAGGATTCAAAGTGGGCAAAATTGCCAATGCATAAATATCTCTGACACAGCAAAATTTGCAGAGCATAACATTGTCAATTCTTTATAAAATTTTTGTACTTTTTATTTTATTACCTTCAGAAAAAGATTCTCTACAATCTCGTGAGAAAATATAATATTTTTTAGATCCTGTGGGGAGTTTTCAGTTTTGGGGTCTGAACCCTCAAAGGGTTAGTAAAAGAATACAAGTTAGTAATTTTGTAATTAAAAATTTTCAGAAGAATCTGTTTAAACACAAGAGCAAACAATAATAATAATAATGTTGAGTGTATCTGCAAATTTCTTGTATATATATTAATCTTTTAACACAAAACAAAAATTATGATAGTGTTTTAAAAACAATGTAAACTTTATTAGTGTTCATAAGTAGGAAAAGTTTTGCCTAAATAAATCTTAACATGGGAATATGTTCATAAGGAAGACCAGGAGTTTAGTGTCCAAAATAGTTAAAAAAAAAAAATCTTAAAATAGACATGAGTACATAAGGAAGATTAACTATACCACTGTTGTGTGACTAAAATTTTTTAGATGAAATACCTTCATTTAAAAAATATGGAAAAACGTAAAGAACACGAACCATATCAATGTTCAGAGTGTCTGAAATGTTTTAGTGTAAAATGCAGTCTTGTGAATCATACAAGAGTACATACAGGAGATAAACCATATCAGTGTTCTGAGTGTCTGAAATGTTTTAGTAAAAAAAGCAATCTTGTGTCACATATGAGAGTACATACAGGAGATAAACCATTTCAATGTTCTGAGTGTCTGAAATGTTTTAGTCAAAAAAGCAATCTTGTGACACATATGAGAGTACATACAGGAGATAAACCATATCAATGTTCTGGGTGTCTGAAATGTTTTAGTGTAAAAACAAATCTTGTGACACACATGAGAGTACATACAGGAGATAAAAAATATCAATGTTCTGAGTGTCTGAAATGTTTTAGTGAAAAAAGCAATGTTGTGACACACATGATGACAGTACATACACGAGATAAACCATATGAATGTTCTGAGTGTCTGAAATGTTTTAGTGAAAAAAGCAGTCTTGCAAAGCATACGAGAGTACATACAGGAGATAAACCATATCAGTGTTCAGAGTGTCTGAAATGTTTTAGTGAAAAAAGCAATGTTGTGACACATATGATGAGAGTACATACACGAGATAAACCATATGAATGTTCTGAGTGTCTGAAATGTTTTAGTATAAAAAGCAGTCTTGTGACACATATGAGAATACATACAGGAGATAACCCATATCAGTGTTCAGAGTGTCTGAAATGTTTTAGTGAAAAAAGCAGTCTTGCGAAGCATACAAGAGTACATACAGGAGATAAGCCATATCAGTGTTCTGAGTGTCTGAAATGTTTTAGTAAAAAAAGCAGTCTTGTGCCACATATGAGAGTACATACAGGAGATAAACCATATCAATGTTCTGAGTGTCTGAAATGTTTTAATCAAAAAAGCAGTCTTGTGACACATATGAGAGTACATACAGGAGATAAACCATATCAGTGTTCTGAGTGTCTGAAATGTTTTAGTCAGAAAATCAATCTTGTGACACATATGACAGTACATACAGGAGATAAAACATTTCAATGTTCTGAGTGTCTGAAATGTTTTAGTGAAAAAAGCAATGTTGTGACACACATGATGACAGTACATACACGAGATAAACCATATGAATGTTCTGAGTGTCTGAAATGTTTTAGTGAAAAAAAGCAGTCTTGCAAAGCATACGAGAGTACATACAGGAGATAAACCATATCAGTGTTCAGAGTGTCTGAAATGTTTTAGTGAAAAAAGCAATGTTGTGACACACATGATGACAGTACATACACGAGATAAACCATATGAATGTTCTGAGTGTCTGAAATGTTTTAGTGAAAAAAGCAGTCTTGCAAAGCATACGAGAGTACATACAGGAGATAAACCATATCAGTGTTCTGAGTGTCTGAAAATTGTTTAGTCAGAAAATCAATCTTGTGACACATATGACAGTAACATACAGGAGATAAAACATATCAATGTTCTGAGTGTCTGAAATGTTTTAGTCGAAAAAGCAGTCTTGTGACACATGCACGAGTACATTCAGGAGATAAAACATGTTAGTATTTAATGTTTCAGAATTTTTTTTTTTTTTTTTTTTTTTTTTCCTCCAACAAGTCGGCCATCTCCCACCGAGGCAGGGTGACCCAAAAAAGAAAGAAAATCCCCAAAAAGAAAATACTTTTATCATTCAACACTTTCACCATGCTCACACATTATCACTGTTTTTGCAGAGGTGCTCAGAATACAACAGTTTAGAAGTATACACATATAAAGATACACAACATATCCCTCCAAACTGCCAATATCCCAAACCCCTCCTTTAAAGTGCAGGCATTGTACTTCCCTTTTCCAGGACTCAAGTCCGACTATATGAAAATAACTGGTTTCCCTGAATCCCTTCACTAAATATTACCCTGCTCACACTCCAACAGATTGTCTGGTCCCAAGTACCATTCGTCTCCATTCACTCCTATCTAACACGCTCAAGCACGCTTGCTGGAAGTCCAAGCCCCTTGCCCACAAAACCTCCTTTACCCCCTCTCCAACCCTTTCGAGGACGACCCCTACCCTGCCTTCCTTCCCCTATAGATTTATATGCTTTCCATGTCATTCTACTTTGATCCATTCTCTAAATGACCAAACCACCTCAACAACCCTCTTCTGCCCTCTGACTAATACTTTTATTAACTCCACACTTTTTCCTAATTTCCACACTCCTAATTTTCTGCATAATATTTACACCACACATTGCCCTTAACCCTTTGAGGGTTTTCGTCGTACTAGTACGTCTTACGCGTAGGGGTTTTTGACGTACTAGTACTCATAAATTCTAGCGACCTCAAATCTAGTGGGAGAAAGCTGGTAGGCCTTCATATGAAAGAATGGGTCTATGTGGTCAGTGTGCACAGTCTAAAAAAAATCCTGCAGCACACGGTGCATAATGAGAAAAAAAAAACTTTTTCCATTTTTTTTTAATAAATCAGCGACTTTGCAGTGTATTTTCGTATAGTATTTATTGTTGTATTCTAGTTTTCTTGGTCTCATTTTATAGAATGGAAGACATATTACTGAAATTGAGATGATTTTGACTGGTTTTACAATGAAAGGTGCCTTGAAATTGAGCTCAAAGTAGCAGAAAATGTTCGATTTTTACCAAACTTCAAAAGTAAACAAATCGTGCCAAGCGTGCAATACACGTCAACTGGTGAGTCTAATATTCTTTCACAAGTGCACCAATAATATTTATACCATTTTTTACACTAATGCAGTAGTCTGCATAACAGTAAATCTTATATTTTTTGTGAGAATAAAAATTCAAAGTGGAAAGCAAAAGAATATAAGAGGGGCCTTGAGACGTGACTAATGACTAGAGAAATGTCATTTTAGTGCCAGGAATGTCTTTCTTGTTTATTCTTGACCCTATTCCGAAATTGGCATCTTTTGAAATTTGTGTGAAATTGGCAAAATTGCTAAATTCTGACCACTGTACTGGATAGTTGAATTTATAAATGGGTGGTTTCTTGCACCCATTCGATAGAAAAAATGGAGTTCTAGCGAAATATTCATGTTTTTTGTCGACTAGTACAGTGAAATTGGCCGAAAATGGGGTTCAAAGTGGGCAAAATCGCCGATCCGTAAACATCGCAGAGACCGCTAACTTTGCGAGAGCATAATTCCGTAAGTTTTCTATCAAATTTCAAACTTTTGGTGTCGTTATGATCGGGAAAAGATTCTCTATCTTTTCATAAGAGAAAATAATTTTTTTTTTTTTTTAAATTTGGCCGACCCTGAGAACGAGTTTCGGAGAGGGCCTGTCGACCCTCAAAGGGTTTAAACAGGACATCTCCACTGCCTCCAACCGTCTCCTCACTGCTGCATTTACCACCCAAGCTTCACACCCATATAAGAGTGTTGGTACTACTATACTTTCATACATTCCCTTCTTTGCCTCCATAGATAACGTTTTTTGACTCCACATATACCTCAACACACCACTCGCCTTTTTTCCCTCATCAATTCTATGATTAACCTCATCCTTCATAAATCCATCCACCGACACGTCAACTTCCAAGTATCTGAAAACATTCACTTCTTCCATACTCCTCCTCCCCAATTTGATATCCAATTTGATATCCAAATCTAAATCATTTGATACCCTCATCACCTTACTCTTTTCTATGTTCACTTTCAACTTTCTACCTCTACACACATTCCCAAACTCATCCACTAACCTTTGCAATTTTTCTTTAGAATTTCCCATAAGCACAGTATCATCAGCAAAAAGTAAACCGTGTCAATTCCCATTTTGAATTTGATTCCCCAAAATTTAATCCCACCCCTCTCCCGAACACCCTAGCATTTACTTCCTTTACAACCCCATCTATGGTGACATTACACATCCCTGTCTAAGACCTACTTTTACCGGGAAGTAGTCTCCCTCTCTTCTACACACCCTAACCTTAGCCTCACTATCCTCATAAAAACTCTTTACAGCATTTAATAACTTACCACCTATTCCATATACTTGCAACATCTGCCACATTGCTCCTCTATCCACTCTATCATATGCCTTTTCTAAATCCATGAATGCAATAAAAACTTCCCTACCTTTATCTAAATACTGTTCACATATATGCTTCAATGTAAACACTTGATCTACACATCCCCTACCCACTCTGAAACCTCCTTGCTCATCCGCAATCCTACATTCTGTCTTACCTCTAATTCTTTCAATTATAACCCTACTGTACACTTTTCCTGGTATACTCAGTAAACTTATTCCTCTATAATTTTTACAGTCTCTTTTGTCCCCTTTCCCTTTATATAAAGGGACTGTACATGCTCTCCGCCAATCCCTAGAAATATTTTAGTTATAAATTCATCAGAATATTTAAAAGGGATATACCATAACAGTGTTGAGAGTGAAATATGTTAATGAAATGTCAGTCATATAAATCTTAAAAGTTCATAGAAGAGATAAGTTGTGTGGAAAA